TATGCATGTGCGCGTGTCACACCAATCACAGTGCGGGTTGTATCAAAGAACGAATCAAATTGCCTGTTAGGAAAAATAAGATGGTATCTAAATTAATCTGGAGACATGTCAGATTACTGTAGTTTGTTCAGTCAAACATTTCATGGCTAACTATTAAGCTATCTTGCCATGACCGATGTAACACCGCAACCAAAAAAGACTTGTCAAATTAGCCAAATCATTACTGTACCATGAATGCTCCTATCTCCGACACACACACAAAAAATAACTCTTGCACGCCTTGCGTGCCTATGTTTTGCCCTAGAACGTATATTGTCCCATCGCAACACAGACTCATCTGGCTACAGTAATTTGCATATCGATGGTAGGGAGGTAATCATCGTTTGGAATGTAGGAAGGTAATCATCGGTCATGAATTTTCAATTGTATTTTTTCTTTGTATTTTTCTATCTGAATTTGTAATTGTAGTTGTTTCGTAGATTTTAAGGACCACAATGAGAATTACTGGTTTTAGCAGTAATTGTGTTATCCAATAAAGTCATTATTTATTTATTTATTTATTTATTTATTTATTTATTTATTTATTTAATTTATTTATTAATTTATTTATTTATTATCGTTTATACTATTTAAAAAGCCGAATGAAGGTAGATTTTTCTCGAAACAACGGCTAAACCGAGGAAAATCTTATTTAAAATCTACAGTTTGACCTGCAGCGGTGGTTATTTTATTTCCAAGCGTTTGCGGTGCATGAAAATTGGTTACAGGTGCGATCGTCGTTATCTTTATTATCTTTGACAGAATATAATTATTAAACCTTTAAAAGATGGACTTCTGCAAAACATTCAGCTTGTTGGAATAAAAAACTGTGTATTGGCAGCATCCGACATTTCTATCTAAATTTCATCGTCTTCCTGTTTTGAGGTCACCTTGAAAACCGTCTCGCAAAACATGAAAAAAAATCGAATCAATCCAAATAAATGTGATATTCGTACAATGGATATAGTGGTTGACTTTCACTGAAGAAATGAGGCCAATCGTTAAAGAACCGAAATTTGTCTTATCCGTACTTACGCGGACAGCCTTTTAATAGGCCATATTCGTATTCTCGGTATTGGACTGGAACTAGTTTGCAACTGAGGCTAATGCGGGGAGTCTTTTCAAATGCAAATGACATTTTTCTCTTTTTATTGATATTTCCCCACATGAGCCTCCATTGCAAGCTAGTTCCAGTCCAATACCGAGAATAAGAATATGGCCTATTGCCAGGTTAGTCTTCTACGCAGACGTTCTTTGGGCTCTTCATGCAATCTTCTTCCCCACAAGAAAGATTGCGTGGCGAGTCCAAAGAACGTCTGCCTTCTGCGTCACCAGTTCTGTGGTTATAGTTACGTTACAGAAGTGCTAGGACCGTCGTCTTTTAACTCTGCAGGCACTTACAGCAATACTCAGTAGAGCAATTTTTCTTTGATAGGTGGTGAACTTTGTGGAGCTTGACAAGCCATCTGTTAAGTTTTTTACTCACCTTTTTGGTCAGCTTTTGTCAGGCTATTCAACGGAGATAACAAGGTAAGGTAACGATTCCTTGTGAATTTAAATATTTATGGAACGAGGAGGGGAAATGCTATCTCAGCATCAGTCTGTTAACATGCAACGGGAGTCCCGCGCGCTCCCACGTTTGGTGGCTAAATTGCCAAAAAATAATAATAAATTTAGAGAAAAGCACAGTTTCTTTAGATTATGACGCCTGCCTGGCAAGGTAGTAATTTTGTGCCACATGTACAGCAACAGTCACTTGAAAGATAGCAATTTGTTACCTTTTTGTCAGTCACTGTGCTGAGAAGCTGATCATATTTTCTCATCAAGTCTTGTTTACTTTCTTCACAGAAATATTTTTGAAAGAATTTCTGCAGTAAAGGAGCTTTCATTCTTTCGCCAAAGCCTTCGAATTTTCATCAAACACTTTGTTGCAAAATCGACATGGACTGATATGAACGAAAGACTTAATCTTGTAGATGGTATTCTTGGAGCTTCAGACACCACCAAACTTTAGATACATTTGCGGAATGGACGAAAATTTACTGACTTTACATCCTACTAGGAAGTAGTATAATTTTTATGTTAAGATGACGTCATCTGTGATATTGGAGCATCTCGTCATGCGTTGTGTCCACTAAGAGGCCTTTTTTAATTTAGTTGTCAGTTGTGATAAAATTTGTCAGGCTGGCTCGTCTCCCTAACTGCTACTATTGCAATGTAGTATGGGAAAAAGTGACGGGTTAGATCAACGTCCATCATGGCAAAGATGTTTGTTCTCAAATGTTTATTTTTGAGCTGAGCAAACATTTAATACTGGAAAAAAAAAACTTCTTCTGTTGGGCAAATTCCTTTGTTCAGAAGATTAATATTTCACGGAACAACTATTGCTGTACTGACAAATATATATGAATTGTACAGTTGCAGTTGCAAAGCAAATCAAAAACATCTAGGTAGAAAGTATTCAGCGGAACAAGGAGGCTGGAAGGCGTCCATTAAAATTCATCATTTGCGCGTGCATGTAGACTCGTAGCCGAAACTATTAGTCACCAGCAAGTAAGGAAGCCGAAATTCATGAACTTCAACAGTTCGTTCGGTTGCACTGACTTGAAGTTAACTAAAACTAATTAGTAGAATTCCACTCGTATACTGATACAAGTGCTGCAATCTGATTGCCTGAACTACTCCTACACTATCAGACATTAGTAGCCACTCAGCTGTGTTCTATTAAAAATCCGCGAATCAGATTGGTTCTCTCATCGTTTTCTTTGTAACATTATTTAAAACTAGATCATTGGATGATGCAATTCAAGAGTTTTTATTGGCTAATCCATCATGGTATATTAACCATTGTACCATGCTCTGCAAATATAGTTAGCGTACGCGCAATTTTGGGGGTCGTTTTTATTTTTATTTTAGTTTTCTATATTTTGGGGGAGTTTTTAATAAAACAATTACTCCACTCGCGCTTGTTGGATACGAGATTGTTATAGCCGACTCGCAGTGACATCTACACAGTCCACGGTAGGTACAACTATACCACTGTTCTGGGTAGGATCTACACGGTCCGCTCTAGGTCCATCTTTCTACATTGTTCCTAGTAGGATCTCAGGGGCGTAGCCGCCATTTTGTAAGCCTTTTTAAAGCAAACAACTGCACACCTACAACGGATGGCGACAACGACATGACAATCTGGTGAATACCTACACTTTGACACAGTGTGACCCTCCCTCTCCCCCGCCCCCTTAAAAAATCCCGGCTACGCCCCTCGATCTGCACATCTCCACTGTAGGCACAACTTTCTACGTTGATCCGAGTACGTAGGATCTACACTGTAGAAGGTACAACTAACTATACCTTTCCCAGTAAGAACTGCACGGTCCGCAGTAGGTGCAACTATCTTTACTGTTCCCAGGAACTAAGGAATTTGGACAGTGGATTGAAAATTATCAGAATTTGTTTTTTTATTATTACTGTAAAACTCAGAAAACCGTGAACACTTTGATTTGATTGTGAAAGGTTAGTTATGAAATAAAAAACAATCGCACAATAAAGTTCAGGGCACAGCTGAAAACCACAACAAATTACCGCTGCTGTTTGTGCTTTAGATTTCTCACGGTTAATTGGCTTTTTCCTAGCTTGCCACACAATGATGTTCCATAAATATTTCTGGTTCTCACGTTTTTTTCAGTTTCACAGTAATAATATAATAATTTGATAACGCAAGCAAAATGTACAGTGTTAACAATTGAATGCAAATTTGACAACTTTGAAAATTATATCCAACGTCACGAAATTTGTAGTTTAGTTAGGTACTTCCCTGAATGACTTTATTGGGTCCGGGCCTGAGATGTATGCTATGTTTGGGGTGATCCGGATCCGGATCCGGATCAGTGATCCAAGATCACTCGGATCATGGTGCATCAAAGGAACTGACGAATCCACTCTGGTCACGGATTCCTCGGTTCCTTTGATGCACCATGATCCGAGTGATCTTGGATGACTGGTCCTGATCCAGATCATCCCAAAGGAACGCACCCTATGTTCACTATATCCTCAAATTTGGAGACAACTGAGAATTCCTAAGTGAACTGACTACATTTTCGCGTAGCTTTCGGCACAGACGAGATTATTGACTGTAAATTTTTTTTACGAAATTAAAACACTTTGCTACGTTACCAAAGTTCCCTACGCCGTGGATGGGACTTTTTTACGACTTTTTAAGTCCTTTTTGGTGTGGATCTAAGGGTATCCGATCCATTTCACTATTTCTGACCATTCACTCGTCATCCACGTTTTCCTCTCCCGAGATTTTCCTTCAAGCAAAAAAATGCCGTGGTAACGCGTACTTCTTCATACACTTGCGAAGTTGCGAAAGTAACACGTAACAAGAAGCAGCTACTTTTGAGCAAAAGAGACTGTAACTCAAAAAGTTCTTAGAGTTTTCAGTTGAAATTCCCCACAAGACTAACAGGTATTATATTCTTTCTGTACAAAAGAATTCGTTCGAAGAAAAATAATTTAACCATATTTTTTGGAATTATTAGAACTTGCGATCTGCAAATATGCCGCGTTGCACAAATGCCCTATTGTCAAGTGTATTTTTTAAGTTAGTTTAAAACTATCTCTTCTAGTAATATTTGAAACTGTCTTTACAGCAAAAGAATGCGCTGACATGTCGCTTTTAATCCACGAGACTTATCAAATGAAACAGTTTTATTCTTGCAGATGAAATACAAGGATCATTTTAGTAGGAAGAACAGGCACTTTGGTAACGGTCCGGAAAATTAAGTCATAACTCTGAAAATCTGCGGTCCTACAGCAAAACTTGACACGACAACCTTAAACAGCAAGTTGTACTGTTTGGCAGTCTCAAAATGTATAACTTTTTGTCGAGTCAGCATAATTTTTCATGTTATGGGTTTTTTGACAGCTGTCGCTCAAACTGATAGCCGTCAGTTTAGACTTGCACACGTATGGTCTAAAAAAACGTAAAGCTGGTTATGAGTCATCATTGCGATAAGTTGCATATAATTCGCTTCAAAGGCAAAATCGTCACATTATTTCAAAGCTGGCTAGGTAGCTTACTTGGCTACCATCTTCGATTTTTGTTTCAAGACATGTAATAATCCAGCTTGTATGGAATAAAATTTCAGCTAATGGAACTTCAGCATATTTCTTCCTAAAATGTATATACAGTCAATTCTGTATGTTACTGCCACCCCTGGAGTTCAATAATTTTCCTTTTGTTAATGTTGGTTCACTGTCAATACTTTGTGGGCGTGGTCAAAGAAATCCCGTGCGAGTTTATAAGGTGATTTGTTTTCGGTTAAATGGCTAAATACAAAGCTAACAAATGTTTGAACTCAAGTAACTAGACA